CAGCTAAGCCACCTCCACGTTCAGAGCAATGAGCAGACAGTCCCGACTCAGATGCTGAATTATAGATATGCTCTTAATTTCCTTTAATGAAGGACTGAAGCAGCAATTTGGGATTATTTTTATTATCAATGAATCCCTAGTTTAATTTATTTTCCTTATTCAATTCATAATGTCTTTGCTCTGTTTTATTTATTGTGTCTTTGCCTTTTCCAGAGGTGTGGTGCCTCTGCAGGTGTTAAAGCTCCTGGAAGCTGAGACAGGCAAGAAGATCCACCAGCTGTTTGACTACATCTGTGGAGTGAGCACAGGTGACAAACAACAGGATAGCTAAATAGTTTATTCTCACCAACATCTCAATGCTTTTCAGTCTGAATCCGTCAGTTTGTGTCTCACTTGGGTGTCTCTGCATGTGTTTATTAAAGGTGCAGTTCTTGCCTTCATGCTGGGTCTGGCCCATTTTTCTCTGGAGGAGTGCGCTGACATGTATCGTCGTTTTGGCTCTGAAGTGTTTCGGCAGAACCCGCTCGTTGGCACCGTGAAGATGGGCTGGAGTCACTCCTACTACGACACTGAGACCTGGGAGACAATACTACTGTACTAGAATTTTGATTTTATTTCGGTTTTATTTAGAATTTTAAAGCACAACAACTCAGGAGTATTGTGAGGCAAAAATCCCAGAGGATAGCGCTCTAAAACATTACCAGAAAACGAATTTCCAATAGATAGATATAGAGTTGAAAACACTATACAACTACTTCAGTGAAAGAAGTGAATTCTCAACATGTTAATAAGATGGCAATACAGTCTGGTCTGACAGAAGCTTTTGTTTTCATCCTGTTTAGAGAAAAGCTGGGAAAAAGAGTACTTATCAAAACAGCAGGAGATGAGTTGAGTCCCAAGGTAAGAATGCTGCAAACACCATGGTATGAGATTTTACAAAAACTCCTTTAGGCTCACAGCACTGCTAAAATACTGTTGGATTCATGAGGCTACAGCTGCTAAAGCAAACCCCCTGCTGCGGTCAAAATAAAAGCATTATTATTAGCATACTAGTCCATACCCATAGCTTTGTCACCTTCTACCTATGCCAATCCTCAATGCCTATGTGCAGTTTCACATAGATTGACCACATCAGTGAGTAGAAAAACGTGGGACAGACAGAATGACACACTGACAGTTTCCATGATTATGTACAGCATATCATACCATGACTTAGTCACACCAAAAATTAGAAAAAAAACAAGCATTGGGCCACAGGGGGAGCCACAGCGATTGGTCACATTTTAGCCATTTTTAAGCATTTTTCTGTTCTTATAGCGCCACCCAGTTGCCAATTAGAGTTAAATTTCTCCAGTCACCTTGAGGTGTCCTGTTCTACATATCTACCAAGTTTAGTAAAAATCTATATGACGGTTAGGCCTAGATAAGAAATTAGCTCTCTAGCGCCCCCATTTTGTTTGATGGGGTCAATAATGGAGGGGTCCCCTCAGATTATGTGTGGTCATATGCCCACAAAGTTGTGTGGTGATGGGTGAAACCCTTGAGATGTTATACACCTTTATGTGATGAGCCACGCCCTCCGCAATATTCATTGCCTTATAGTAGCTCAGTTTTAGTAAGTTTTCCAACTTTTGCCAAGAGGGAACTTTAGATATTGGTCCCTAGATTATGTTCACCGAGTTTCATGCAGATTGGTCAAACTTCCAAGGAAGAGATCGATTTTAAATGTTTTTCAAAAAATTCAAAATGGCGGAAAATCTATATAAGCGGAAGTTATGGGTGCTTGAGGCAAAATTGTTCCTAATGAGGAGAGGCATCTCTGTGCAGTTTCATGTCTCTACGACATAGGGGGCATGAGATATGCCCATTCCAAGTTTGCAATTTCAATCGGTTGCTATAGCGCCCCCCTTTGGCCAATTGATGTAATATTGCTTCATTTGCATCCTCCCATGACCCTCTACCACTGTGCCACATTTCACATGGATTGACCAAGTCAGTGAGGAGAAAAACGTGGAACAGACAGAGTTTTCGTCATTATAGATAAGATTAGAACCATATTTTTGTTGTTGATGCTTAACATCAAAATTGCAGTGTGCACAGGTTTTGTGAACATGTCACAGAGGGTGTTGTTGGTGTCTGCTCAGGTTTCAGCAGTCAGCGCAGTGGTTAACTGGGGTACCAGTCCAAAGGCCTTTGTCTTCCGCAACTACAACCACAAACCAGGGTCTCTCTGCCGCTACGCAGGAGGCTCAGGCTGCCAGATGTGGGAGGCAGTGCGAGCATCATCAGCTGCCCCAGGATACTTCCAGGAGTTTACCCTACAAAGTGACATTCACCAGGTAGGAGGGTGATGTCATTGCTGCATTTTAGGTGGAGTTTTGGAACTAACTATGCAACTTAAAACACATTTATATGTGAATTAAACAGTAATGTGGTAAATGAGAGATAAGCAGAAGACAATTATAATTGTGTGACACATCAGAAGCCCTCATTTGCAGCCTGTGTGAACATTTAGAAGGAGAAGGCCGTGAGCGAGACAATGGATCCCTTTATTGTAGGGAGCAAATTACAGCAAAGCACCAGTGAAGACGACCTACCACTGAAATGAAAGAGAAAAAAAAGCAGATAGTATCACGAACTACGAGCTACCTGTCTTATGTCATGATAAGAGTGATAACATGTTATTGTGCACAGATATAAATACAGGCGTGCCTTGAGATTTTGGCTTGCCCTCTGGCGCACCTTGGGCACAAAAAGTTTGACAACCACTAATTTAGGCGACTGGTGTAGCAATAGGAGTGTGAGGTGCTGTCCTGTTCCTCCTCATCCTGTGCCACAGCGTTCAGAGGTGGCTTCAGAGTGTTGCTGCCTGTGTTCAGGAGGGGCGAAGTTGAAGGAGCAGACATAATCGCCTTTCACTGGAGCTGTACCTTGTATCATTCTACGTGACATATAAATGATTGATTGATAAGGGACTGTGTGAAACTAATTTATTGAGGAAGCTGGGTTAAACATTATGTTTCACTTCATAAAAACACAAGGTCTTCCTCAGCATAATTACATTGTTTTTGGCTCCTCTCCGTGACTAAGAGAGACAAACTTGTTTACTCTTAAAAGCTTTATGAATTTAAGGTGGTGTAACCCAATTACATTTAATGGTAGAATAATTTTCACACAACCACCAATTAGGCTACTGAAATTAGGACAGTATTGTTTTCCTGTGTGAATGACTTGACACACCTTTATGACCTGTGGTGCCCACAAAGCCATATTTTTGTTTTAACTTCAAAGACAAAATGGTAATATCTGGGAAGAAAAATCCACCCTAAAAATGTCAACTGTCCTCCCTTCAAAAGAAAAAAGACAGTGTTACAATCATTTGTAAAGCTGTTTAGTTTTATTATCTATATTCATGTTCCAAGTTAACTAAATAGAAGAATCAGAATTTTGACAGGGATTTGTGTTTTGGCTCTTGAGTTGGTTTGAATTGAGAAAAAAATACTTCTACACACTTATAGATTTCTGTGTGTCTTCGTAGGACGGAGGGATTCTCATGAACAATCCCTGTGCCTTAGCTGTCCACGAGAGCCGTCTGTTGTGGCCCAACCAGCCCTTCCAGTGTGTGCTGTCACTTGGCACCGGTCGCTATGACAATGCTAAGAAGGGACCTGCCACCTCCACTAGCCTGAGGGCCAAAATCAGCAACCTGGTCAGCAGTGCCACCGACACTGAAGGGGTCCACACCCTTTTGGATGATCTGCTGGCTCCAGACGTGTACTTCCGCTTCAACCCCATGTTGAGTTCTCTGGTGTCCCTGGATGAGAGCCGACCGTGGGCCCTGGACCAGCTGCAGAGAGACACCCAGAACTACCTGGAGAGAAACCGGCTCAAACTGGCCCGGCTCTGTTTGGTGCTCGGGGCGGAGCGCTCAGCTGCTAGCAGAACTAAGGACTGGATGAGCGAGAGGGCGTGGGAGATGAAGCAGAGATGGGTGTGAGTAGGTGCAGTGTGAGGTATATCCACACGAAGGAGATACAGGCGCACACTGATACAGGCTGTGGACAAAACAACAGAAACAAAACAGGAATTTTGTTCAAACATGAAGATGAAGCCCATTGAATCTGGTGATCCCCTGACTTTTGCTATAGCGATACCATGATGTTGACATCTTATCTTACTATATAATGACGAAAACTCTGTCTGTTCCACATTTTTCTCCTCACTGACTTGGTCAATCCATGTGAAATTTGGCACAGTGGTAGAGGGTCATGGGAGGATGCGAATGAAGCAATATCACATCAATTGGCCAAAGGGGGGCGCTATAGCAACCGATTGAAATTGCAAACTTTGAATGGGCATATCTCATGCCCCGTATGTCATAGAGACATGAAACTTTGCACAATTTTTTGAAAAACACTTAAAATCGATGTCTTCCTAGGAAGTTTGAGCGATCTGCATGAAACTGGGTGAACATAATCTAGGGACCAATATCTAAAGTTCCCTCTTGGCAAAAGTTGGAAAACTTACTAAAACTGAGCTTCTATAAGGCAATGAATATTGCGGAGGGCGTGGCTCATCACATAAAGGTGTATAACATCTCAAGGGTTTCACCGATCACCACGCAACTTTGTAGGCATATGACCACACATAATCTGAGGGGACTCCTCCATTATTGACCCCATCAAACAAAATGGGGGCGCTAGAGAGCTAATTTGTTATCTAGGCTTAACCGTCATATGGATTTTTACTAAACTTGGTAGATATGTAGAACAGGACACCTCAAGGTGACTGGAGAAATTTAAGTGTAATTGGCAACTGGGTGGCGCTATAACAACAGAAAAATGCTTAAAAATGGCTAAAACGCGACCGATCAGGTTTTTTTCCTAATTTTTGGTATGACTAAGTCATGGTATGGTATGCTGTACATAATCACAGAAACTGTCAGTGTGTCATTCTGTCTGTCCCACGTTTTTCTACTCACTGACGTGGTCAATCTATGTGAAACTGCACATAGGCATTGAGGACTGGCATAGGTAGAAGGTGACAAAGCTACCAATGGGTATGGACTAGTTTGTGATTATTAGTAAAATTTCTCATCAACTAATGGATGCATTGCCCTGAAACTTGGTGCAGACATTAACGTGCCCCTCAGGATGATTTCTAATAACTCTGGTGATCCCTTAGAGGAGCTTTTTGTGCATACATAGGTTGAATTAACTTATGTACTGATCAGCAGAATGGATCGACAACCACCGTGTGATTTCAACCTCAAGTAAGAATCTAGTTGATGCTAAGCTCCCTCAAATTCGTCAAGGCCGTTATAAGATGTTTCTGCTGTTTTGTCCACTTCCTGTTTATATATGTACTGTATAGCAAATCAGCATGATGCTAAGAGCATGGCTCACTCTAGGGCTGCACATTTAATCAAAAATATTTTTAAAATTGCCATATAGCCAAGTGCAATATCCAAAGGAGCTGCCTTTTTGATAAAGGCAAAATGTGTCACAACAGACCATTTTAAATGAAACATCGGCCTACAAATCATATTCCAGACATAAGGCACGTGCTTTGGACAGATACCCCTCAAAAAATCATATTGTCATAATTTGTTTATATATTTCTTGGTAAAAAATTATACAGAAATTACCATTCGCACAACAACTCATATTGCAATATCTGTCAGTCACTCAGATACAGCATTTTATTTGATGAGTCCATGACGTAGAGCACGACATGCACGTTCATGACAAAAGCACTTCCATGCACTTTGTTAAAAACACTTTGTGTACTGTGCACATGTAACATTTACTGATTATTGCTATTATTACTGTTGCACTTCTCAGTGTTGTTGAATGTGAAATAAGTTATGATAAATTTGTATATATGTTGTGCTAATGGGCATTTTATTTGTTTTGAATAAATTCCTATTTATAGACTCTTTTCCTTGTCATCAAAGACTTTTCTTCTGTACTAAATGCATCAAAGCACCACTTCTTGTAAACCCAATAAATACTGTAGATCACCCTGGTCTTGACAAATGATGCAAGACTTTATCAATGAGGGAGAAGCCATCCAATCACTTGAATGTAACGAGTTAAACCCCCCCATGTGTGTGTGGAAGCCGTGCCCTCCCTGTCCACAATAGACTGACTTTGTTCCAGACAGAAACGCTTTGTGTGAGAGAGTGTGCATTCGTGCCAGCCAGAGTGAAGACACAAGGTCAGTAACCCACCCCCCATCTAACACACACTGCACATCAACAGCACACATGAAAAAATACAAAAAATGATTTGATCTTTTAAGCACGCTGTGGCTGATTGTTGCTAGATAGGAGCTGGATGACGCCTAAACTTAATCCACCAGCTCATACATATCATGTCAGTGGTGTTTAACTTTATTCTTGCATCACTGTGGAGATGACGTTATATTTATGTGTGGATTTCACAATGGATTTATTATAATAGGCTCCCAGGCCCTGTTTGCCAGGCGTGTGACCCAGGCTTGGGACGGCCATCCTGACGGGCCACACGAGTCTCTGTTATCTTGCCTGTCACCTGCTTTAAGCTGGTGGAGTTACAACACATTAACCACATGCTGCTGGAAAGCTCTCTGTGAAGATGATGTGAATCTACTGCGACAGGAAATGAGAAGAAAGTAGGAGTCCGCTTTCACACTTAAGGTAGGAGCCCTAACATTCACCACTTTGTACTTTGTTTTGCTGATTTTAAATGTTAGTTTTTACATATAATGTACACAGTGTCAGAGACAGTATCAGGACACTTAAGGAGGAGCATCGAGTGTGTTGCCACGTGAAGGAGTGTTAGTCCATGGAGCTGTTGTTCAAGACGGCTGTCCAGGTTTTAATGATGTCATAGTCTGAGTTGAGAAGTGGGATGGGTCTACAGCTGCATCAGCAGATTTGTATGAGAGTGAACACAATATTGTTCAGCATTCACACCTGCCAGTGTGACGACTGGGATGAATTTGCATCCCTTTTTTATGTGGCAATGTTTCAGTGACAAATATGATGTGCATTTGATTGTTAATATTAAGAGGGTAACTTAAAAATTGCCCTGATGGTGCACATTTAAATATCCATCAGTCTTTATGTTTTAGCCATGCTAACAGAGTGGTCAGTCAACTCGTCAATCACTTTGGTCCAGACTGAAATATCTATCTATTTATTTATTTAATTGTTATTTCTTTTAAATTTGTGTCGTGCTCAACATTTGGCCCATCCCACCATTATTTTACATATATCTTCCGGTCTTGCCTATACAAAACATTTGGAAAAGCAAAGAAACACAAACTAAAAATTAAACAAAACAGTATCTAAAATGAACTATTCATACAAGGAACTACCAAATTGTTGCAGATCATCTTGATATTGAGCTTTTTCCCTTCTGTTCTACCAGACTGGTGAAATCTTTCATATGTGACACCCATCTCAGTCTTGTATTTGTTTTCATCCTAACAAAAAAGACATTTCACAGGTCACAATAAAAAGGACAGTAGAAAACCATTAGGATCTCATTTTCTCTATCGTTTAGACAACATTTCAGACGGATCCATTTTCCTTCTTCTATGTTAACATACCGTCCAGTTTCATCAGTTAAATTTAAAATACCAGATCTCAGCTGAGCACAAAGATCTTTGCTTTTTAGATAAGTTATATACAACATACCATATCTAACACCAGCTTTGGATTGCCATGATTTTTTTAAAGACACTCATGTTCCTCACATGACAAATTTGACTGACTTTGGTAATCCCCTGACTTTAGTCTAGTGCCACCATGAGGTGGTTATTTGTGTTTTGGCTTGGTTCAGACAATCATTTCCTCCTCAGGATCAGTTGTAATAACTCTGGTGACCTTTAACACAGTGCTTCTCAAATGGTGTGCGACGATGCAAATCCTGGTGTGCCGTGGGGTTTTGTGATAACCATACATTATCATAATAATGATAATTAATACTAATACTAATAACAATAATGATAATAATAATATTTATTTGTATAGCACTTATCTAAACAACTTTACAAAGTGCTTCACAAAGTGCATAGAAATAAGACAACAAAACAATACCAAGGAAATAAAGGTACAAATCTGGCACCAAAAGGAACGCTTTCCTATAAAATTATATTTTAAGCAAAGATTTAAAAACAGGTAATGTGCTAGCCAGCCTAATCTCCTCAGGCAGAGAATTCCAGAGCCTCGGGGCCTTGATGGCAAAAGCCCGGTCACCTTTAGTTACCAGCTTTCATGTGGAGACGACTAGTGAGGGTAGGCTTGAGGATCTTAGGTCAGGACTTGGAGAATAGGTAGTCAGAAGCTCAGCTATATAACTCTGCCCTAAACCATGTTGAGCTTTAAAAGTTATTAAAAGAATCTTAAAATCAATTTAAGTTTGTTTATAAATAAAATTGATTGATTGATTGATTGAAGTTTGCAATATTCAACTGGGCCGTTACAAAAAGTTATGATTGACTATTTTAATTGACTGTATCAGTATGTTGTGCGCACCCATTTCCTAATTAAGAAGAAAAAAAGTAATTTAATTTAATTTGAAAAAAAAAAAAAACTCAGAGAAATTGTGGCCGTTTGTGCGAGGAAATTTTAAGTGTGTGACCATAACACATCACATTATCTTACATTATTTCCCACTTAAATGGATGTGTTATTGGTGCTTTGATGTAATTTTAAACTGTTTAAAATGAATTCTTGAATAATTTTGTTAATAAATATTTCATGAGTAATAGTTGGTTGTCAAATGTTATTTGATATCAGTAAATAAAAACAAACATTTATGTCATGATAAGAGTAATAACACACGTTATAGAGGCTATTGTGCACAGATATAAATACAGGTGTGCTTTGAGATTACTCAAGACACTTATCAGCCTCAGCTGTAGTTTGTGTTTAGTGCTAATTGGCTAACAGTTAGTTTTGTTATCCTGAGTGTGTTAGCATGCTGGCATTAGCATCTAGCTCACAAAGTTGCTAACGTGGCTGCAGACTCTTGTGTCAGGGTGCTTTTTAGAAAATGTTTTGTTGCTGTGGTTTTCCTTCACCTCACCATAAAGTCATAATCACAGGGGTCATGTTTATGAGACAGTAATGTTTTGATAGCACAGAGGTGATGATTCAGTTTAGCACAGTGTCCTGGAGTTTCTCCCCGGCCTCTTCGTCTTGTGCGTTCCCTGATGCACTGACGTCAAAGTGCAAATGAAAGGTGCTCCGGGTCTGAACAGGCAGCTTGTGCGGTCGAACGCTCCCTCCCACTTGCCATCTGCTTTTAGCCGAGCCCTGGGCACACGTGCCAAAGGAGACCCGCGAGCATAGAGACCTTCTTGTCGTCACTGAGCTGGCTCTGTCCGCCTCTCTGCCTCTTCACTGTGCAATCTGGTGCATGGCACTGATCACTGCTCACTGCCAGGCCTGCTTCAGTCCAATGTATGGAGGGGTGAAAAAAAGCCCATTCTGAGAGCCAAGAAGCTCAACATACCACTTCTGCTTTTGTCTTCTGTGTGAGGCAGGTTGTGTTTCAGCTGCGAACACAGAGGAGGGGATGAGGGCTGGAGGATGCAGAGCGTCAGCTACACAGCTATGAGAGTCTTAATAGTTTACGTCACATGTGGTCTCATACTCTTTCCAAATATGAATGAAAATATGTCTAAGTCATTATAATCAGTGCGCAAACGTCCCACTTTTACGCCAGCTTTGTTACCAGAGTTCTGAATACAAATCTTAATCACGAGTTTAATTGCATCTGTAGGTAGAGCCACCTCATTTTACCCCCCTCCCTCCCCACCACCGAGCTATTGTTGAGCCCAGTCAGGGCTGGTTTGTATACGCAGCCCCGTGTGGATGCCTGAAAGCCTACACAGGTCAGGACTCTGTCGGCAGCCGTGAGATGGCTTTTGTTTAACACAAATACAGCTTCTCCTGCAACTTTGGCACTGTTTCCAGAAAAGAAAACTGCTGCTTGCCCTTGTAGGATTTTCTCAGCTGAATGGTAATGACCTTTTCCTCCTCTGAGGAAATATGCATGTGAATGGCTGAGTGTGGAAAAGAAATGTCTTGCAAAACAAAGGATAAGTTCTAATTAGTACTATGGAAAAGTGGAGGAAATTAAAAATACAGGATGTGGAGTGGGGGGTTTGTTATCTAATACCACAGAGGGTTAACAGTAAAGAAAGAAGGAGTCAGATTCTTCTTGAGGAAATTTTGATTGTTGAATTTTTCCATCCTTCGTCAGGGCTACTGCGCTGTGGAGTCATGTGACTTGAAATCTGTCACATGTAAAATTCATATGAGAGAAACAAACATTGCTTTCATGCTCTGTTTCCCCAGTTCCCTCCAGTCAACAATAAAGCCCACATTTTGATGTCATCAAAACCAACAACAATGCAAATTGGTGCTTTGAAAAATAAAAATCAGGCTCAAGATCTCGGTCCAACTCATATAAAATGTCCCAGCTGTTGGTGTCATAAATCCAAATGTTTATTTCATCTCTTGAGAGCCTCAGTTTGTTTATTGTGTGAACAAACTTTGAAAAACTTTGGATTGTTCAGGATCATGAGAGCCTGGTCAGAACAGTGAAGTGATGTGGGTGAGGAGTAGGTGGTGTATGGCGCTCATTCATTATTCATGAGCTGGGTGGGCAGAGTGTAAGTGGCAGTGACAGACAGAAACTCTATTACTGAAGTGTATCAACTCCTCGAGGGCTCTTGACCTGATATTTGAAGGACTGAAGTTTTAATTGGTGTGCTGCACAAACAAGAATAATTACGTGGAGAAAAGTCATTGGGATTATCGATGTGCTGTGAAGGTCACAGAGATGGGGAGGAGAGAGCCCTGATTTGACTTTACATGAGAGAGGTAGGCACTGATAACTTTTTGTTCAGCTCAGACTAACATGACCTGCGGGTCACTGCATATTTACTGTAATATCAGGGCGAAAAGATTTTGAGTAGGGCCATTTAATGAAACACTTCTGCCAGAGTCAAGAGCTTGAGACACATTTTAGTCATCATCTGTTCTGTTATTTAAACTGTGACTTCTTCTTCTTCTTCTTCTTCTTCTTCTTCTTCTTCTTCTTCTGCACACTGCTATTCACATGGCAGATGCAGTTAGAGCAGTAAAGTCTCTGCAGCAAATATTGTGGGACATTTAAGCAGCAAAAGTAAAACCTGTAGTTATAAATGTGACAGAAGAAACAGAGTTATAATAATAATAATAATAATCAGTGAAGTTACGCTGCTCCTCGTGCGTAAATGTGCACAGTTTCTCTCTTAACAGAGAGTCAGACAGCAGCTCTGCTGTGATCTCTGCTATGTTCACATTTTAGAGAATATCATTTATATTTTCCTCAACCCATCCCTGAGTCCTTTTGTGTGTAACAAACAGAGTGTACGAGTGTACCCACCTATGAAGGCACAACTATCTGAATAATAGCAGGAAATTTTTTTTTGTTTTGTTTTTTGTTTTTTTTGGTGGTCAATGGTGCAGTCACTTTTTGCTGCCTCAAAATAGCAATGTGCCCAACCACACCTCACTTTGGACACAGATGGGCACAAGTACATTTGCTACTTACACAACACGGGCGCTGACTGTGGAAATGACGGCGTCGGTCTGAAACTAGCAATTATGGTTGCGTTGTGTTGTGTGCTGCTTTGCACCAGGTGTAAGAGAGGGTCCTAACAGTTGATTTCCCTTTGTAACTTCTAAGATGGTTTTATTTAAATATCTGTTTGACACACCCAAGACAAAACTACAATATTTTACACACACACACAAAACAACAACATGCAACAAAACTTTGGTTTTCCCTCTCCCTTTAATCATCTGAAGACCACCGTGTTTTATCTTGTGACCCTGTAGAGAGCCTGACCCCTAGGTTGAGAACCACTGTATTAGGCTACAGAACTGTATATAAAGTAGTTGAAACAACTTCCACCTTGAGCACCTACAACAGTAAAAACTTACAAGTTATATAATTGTAATTGATGTATAAAACACACTCACAGGGGGCATTTTTCTGCAGAATGAGTACTTTTACTTTTAATACTTAATGTTTATTCTGCTGGTGATATTAATCTCTTTTTACTTGAGCAGGATTTTGAATGCGGGACTTTTACTAACCACAGCCACAGTTTGTACATTGTAGTATCATTTTTTCCACGACTGAGATGTTTATTGCTGCATTACAGATGATTTGTGAACCATTAGTTAAATCTGTAGTAAGATGTTTCATGTACAGTCATTTGTTCTGGATTTTAACCACATGACATGAATGTAATATTTTATTCCATTCAATCTGAGACCAGGAGACTTGGTGAAGAGAAGAGTTGCATGGTTCCATGCTCTGTAAAGATGGGGACACTGGTCGAACCAGCGCTGCTGCTGCTTCTGTGGCAGAGTGTTTGGGCTTTCGACGTTCCTCTGGAAAGTGAGTTAGTTACTTAACTTGCATATTGTAATTTGTCATATGTATAGTCTTACCATAAAAGTTTCTAACATACTAATCTGAACTATTTCTCCGCCCACAGTCAGGCAGCCCCCGACCATCATAAAGCAATCGATGAAGGATCATATTGTTGACCCCAAAGACACCATGGTTATAGAGTGTGAAGCCAAAGGAAACCCTCATCCCATGTAAGAGCTGACGCAGCTTTTTGTTAAAGGCATTACTGTCTGCACACCACCTCACTGTTTTTTCTATTCTTTCTTTACATGTTCATGAAGTTTTTCATGGAGGCGTAACGGGAAATATTTCAACGTGGCGCGTGACTCCCAAGCAACGATGCGAAGGCGCTCAGGGACGCTGGACATCTATGCCTGGAACAATCCAGACCAGTATGAAGCAGAGTATCAGTGCATCGCCTCCAATCAGTATGGATCTGCATACTCCAACAAGATCAGACTACGACTCTACAGTAAGATCCGTATTGAGACTGTTAGAGAACACACTATTTGTTCATATCCACAACTGACAGGAGACGTACAGCACAGTGTCCTCAGTTATCAAACAAATTTTTCCATTAAAGGGGAACACTACCTAAATTAAGAATTCCAATGTTATTCTCATGGCCCAGAAAAGTTCCGTCAATTTGTCTGTTAATTTGACATTAAGAATTCAGCTGCATTACTTTTTACTGTATTGAATTTTAGCTTGAAATGAGGCAGTAGGGGGCACCCACTAGCTCACCTGGTAGAGCAGACACCCCAAATACAAAGGCTGTGTCCTTGTCGCAGCAGCTATGGGCTCGGTTCCAACCCACGGCCCCTTGCTGCATCCTCCTTTCAAACTAAATCTGTCCATCCAATTAAGGCAAAAAAGAAAAAACGAGGCAGTAGAATCATGACAACAAGAAAGATAGGAGATAGGGTAAGGAGCTCAGACATACAAAGGGAGCTCGGAGTAGAGCCGCTGCTGCCTTGTGTCGGAAGGGGTCAGTTGAGGTGGCTCGACAGTTTCTAGGCTCAGGCTTCCACCTCACCATCTGCATCTCCAATTTCTCATTTCCAAAACATTTGTAAGCATGTGTCAAAGTTTCTCCCATCAAGTGTGTTTTAAAAGATTACAACTTTTCTGCAGGAAGTGGCGTACGCCTCTTTCAGGCCTTGTTTTGTTTATACCCAGTGTTTTTAAATGAGACCCCTGGCTTTGCTGCTCACCTGTTTCCCTCTTGTGCAGGACCTCCTGTGTGGCCGAGGGAGATTCTGGAGCCTGTGGTGGTCAGTGCCGGCTTGCCTCTGGTCCTGTCCTGTGACCCGCCACCAGGCCCACCGAAACCTGAAACCTACTGGATGAGCAGCTGTAGGTGTCTTGAGTTACATCTCTAAAAGTTTGGATCAATAAGCCTAAACAGGGAGGCTTTTTAACTGTCTACTAACCAAACTAGTTGTCAAGAGTTTTAGCTACTGACGTGTTTTTCTGTGAACTGTGACTTTATTTCAGGCTCATACGCGAGACCTTTCACCTGGCCCATTCAGACAGCTTTCCCCACCATGCAGCCTGTGCGGCAGGACCGCAGGGTATCCATGGGAGTTAACGGAGATCTGTACTTCTCCAACGTCCTGGTCAACGACTCTGCTGCTGATTACTGCTGTAATGCCCGCTTCCCCTACAAGAATGTCATCCAGCAGAAGATGCCTGTTGTTGTTAAAGTGCTAACAAGTGAGTATGATTGTGTGTCCATAGTGTCCAGCTTTCAGCCATCACCTTGTGTTTTTATTCACATCTGATTTTTTTAGAGACATTTTCAAGTGTTTCCTACATGCAGCAAGGATAAACCTCAGACATCATACACTGGATGTAAAGGAAACACTCTGCTGTAGTTACAGCTGTGGTTGGATTTAAAGATCTGTGGTTTAAAGATTGTCCTGAGTTATGGCAGGGGTCTTTGACCTGTTGTGGGTCAGGTTAAACAGTTTCTATTCTGAATCTGTGGTAGTTGCTTAAGACCAGTAAAAGTAAGAAAACCCTGCACTCCAAGCAAAACACACTAGAAGATGTTTGACTTGTTTGAATTCATTTCTTCATGTATTAACTTTTCCCTACACAGATGTTAAAATATTCATTTTCATGTGTTGTTTTCGGTTACCATGTTCATAATGCCTTTTCTGCTAACAAAACATCCATTGGAAACTGAATTAGAAATATGTTGGATGCATACTATGGTAAAGAGACAGTGGGTATTAAGGTAACGGCCACAAAACGTCACATCCTTCTGCGCTAAGGGGGAAATTAATTGCTGTGTCACTTTCTGCATGTCAAATAAACTTAAAAATCCAGAGCTAAAGGGTATTTTTTTTAACCGGGACCCTATTTTCCCACATTTTTCTGTCTAAGTGACTAATGGTAACAACTTTTTTATTTTTAAACTGATCCAATATTGACAGAGAGCGTTAAAACCAGAAGCAGCTGGCAATGTAAACTGTCAGGGATTGTTATTATAAGTGTCTAACAAAATTATGGAAAGGATCCCTACAGAGGCAGACCCTTTTGTTAAAGAGTATGATCCAGATAGCCCCCCAAATTGATCATCAAACTCCATTTAAATGCACATATATTTTATCATTGTAAAACACACAGTCGACAGAAACAAACTGAAACTCACTGAAACCATCTCGGTTCATCCTTCCACTGTTCCCACAATGACCAACTCTTGTTTGGTTAAAATTAACCTTTAATTCATCCAGTTCAGTGTAAAACATGCTGGCTACATAGATGCTAAAATTACTGTTTATTTAAATGGAGTCTGGTTGGTTTGGCAATGGTGATTTTGGGGCTGTTTCTGGTTAAACAAAAGGGATCTAACACTTTATCCAAGCAGTGTTAATTGTTTGGCCACTGGTGAAAAAAGTTGTGAGCCTTCAAGGACCTGTCGCTCTTGAAGCTGCAAATCCTGCTTGATAATGTTATAGCACATCATAAAAAGAAAGGTTAATGGTGCTGACTTATGTTAGCGCTGCTATACTGTCTCAAAATGTGCATGTGATTTACTGAAACATGTTAGTCTAGTACAACATACTGTTAATGACTGTAGGGTACTGATATTATAGTAAGTTTAATTAAACGTATCTAAAGTAAATGTGATCATTTCTTTTAGTATATGAGTTATAAAAAACCCTCATCAACTCTGGACGAGCATTACATCATGGACAACAGTTTACACAGTGTATTGTCCAAATGCTGTTGCACATTAACACTGTCTGCTCTCTTCATCTATAGTAACTTGATCTGTCCTGACCAAACAGATACACTAATAACAATCATTCCTAATGTTTTCCATTTACTCCCTGGCTTTTGTCATTACTTTACCCACAAACTGGACCATTTTGTTTTATTTCAGACGATACCCCAAAAAGATTCCTCATTTACTCCAACTAAACTCACTAATTGTGGTGAGTGAGTGCTCTGCTTCAGCTGTCTTCTCTCATTTTCTAAGTTAACTTGCACTGTGGTCTTGTGTTGTTTAACAGTCAGAAAGGGTTTGTGAACACTTGTCTCTTCTGGTTTGGTTCCTCTGCAGCCCGCACAGTGGTTGAGGCGGCCCCCACCTGGCTGTCTCCCACAGGCTCGTCCAGCTCCATACTGGTTCTGCTGGGGGAGGAGCTCCTCCTGGAGTGCATCGCTGGGGGAAAGTGAGTCTCAACGCTAGATCATGAGATAAACTGTAACTGCAGGGCTTTTTATTTTTGACTTTGATTCCATGAAAGTCATCATGTGTAAAGCTTTTTTTGTCGTCATCAAGGCCAACTCCTCGTATTACCTGGACCAAGGATGGTGACGACCTGGTGGTGACGCCACGCATGAAAGTAAAGAACTTCAACAAGATGATTCAAATCCCGAAGGCGTCCTTTGAGGATGTGGGTGAATACACCTGCACTGCTACCAATAAGATCGGATACATCCAGCACACGATAACCGTCAGGGTCAAAGGTGAGAGGCACTTTCAGAAACATGTATGTTCTTACTGCACAGTAATGAAACAACTAAAATACTTGTATTTGACAGCTGCTCCATTCTGGCTGGAGAAACCCACTGATTTGGTTTTGGCCCCGGAGGAAAATGGACGCCTGGTGTGTCGTTCTGACGGAGCTCCTCGTCCCACAGTCAGCTGGTTCATCAACGGGGAACCAATTGAAAGTAAGTCTTTGCATATCTACTAACTAGTCTACTAGTTAAAGTAAATCTAAATAACTTTTTTTTTCCCCAGGTGCTACACCGCAGCCTAACAGACAGGTGTCAGGAGACACACTGACTTTCCGCAGTGTGACCGTTGAAAACACTGCCGTCTACCAGTGCAATGCTTCCAATCAGTTTGGGTACTTACTGGCCAATGCTTTTGTCAATGTGCTACGTAAGTAACCACTCTGTCATTCATGATATTTACAGTGTAATGCATTGTTTTTCACTCAGCCATAAGTTGAAGTTTCTCAGTGGTTTGCCAGCGACAGTCACCAGTTTAATAATTAAAATAGTAAAAACATTAGGTATATGCTGACAATTCTTAATGTTTTAGTCGATTCACTCCAATTTTCAGTGTCATGGCACGTCTAAGTTGCTTCACTGCTGCATCACTGTTGTGCAGTCACAAAAATAAGTAGGATATTATGAAAATGTTAATACAAGCAGGCAGTCCAAAAATGCATCCAAGGCACTCTGACTGTAGTTTAAAATCCTTTGCATTGGTTATCTATGTATTAATTCAGGATCAGAGTGCCTCGGATGCATTTTTGGACTGCCTGCTTGTACTATGGACTTTTACACTGAGTGAGCTGGCCAGTTGTTGGTTTTATCTTTAAGTGACTAATTGCCCCATCCGTGAAGAGCACCTGATTTTTTTCACAACTACACCCAGTGCAGCACTCCCTTTTTTTCATATTATGGAAATGTTTTGAAATTGAATTTTAAGATAAAAGTTGTGAACGCGTACTGTATATGCATTTGATAACAAACCTGCATGTATATGCAATATAAGAGCATTTAAATAGTGGTGGTTACCTGAAAAAGGTTTAAAAACTTCAAATGCTATACCATTAAAATAAATTAAATACACAATGTGATAGGTAATCCATGCTTTATTTTTATCCAGTCATGAATATTCATGACTAAATAGTAAATACTAAAATCCATCATGGAAGAGACACCTCTCTCCCCAATGGCAGTAGCCTGAGTAATAATGTGATAATACCAAAAGATATTTTGTATTTTGCGTAAAGAGAAACTCTTTCTATTTCGTCTTTTTCTATCCACCTACACAAAAATCACAATCAGGGATTTGGCAACTGAAGAAATCAGTAAATTGACTCCATGTGCAATAGACCACAGAGGTTAAAGGAAACAGGACGTTGTTTTATAATCATAATGAAGTTAATTATTTATCATTGATATTTCTCCAGATGCAACGCCACGTATTCTTGGGCCCAGGAATGAACTCCTAAGGGTGGTGGAGGGCAGTCGTATCTTCGTAGACTGCCGCTACTTTGGTTCTCCAGTGCCTGAACTGCGATGGTGAGAACGTACTGATTGACATTTTAATGCAAAGAGTGTGTTCAGACATCTGCTCACAGTTTGTGTTTGTGGGTCTGCTCAGGTCCAAATATGGACAGGGGAATCTGGAAGGAAATCGTTTTAAGACCCATGGTAACGGGACTCTGGAGATCAAACGCATACGGATAGAAGACCAGGGAACTTACCTGTGTATAGTCAGCAACGTCGCAGGAAGAGACGAGAATCAAGTCCGAATAGAGGTCAAAGGTGAGGGTCACACTTTGGCTGGGTACAGACCTTTAAAACCGCCCACATCAGTTTGATCTTAAAATTATGTTAGATTCAGGTTCATATGTCGGCCTCTTGTGATTGTTTGGAGAAGATCGACTCCCCTTCCCCGACAGAAATCATTTAGAGTGGAGACAATGTCAGACTAATGATGGAAACGAAGTGTAAGGAGTTCACAGTTCAGTTTGATGTCAGGCAAAGTCACACATACTTTTTTTTATCTATACTTGTTTAATTGTGTGACCCATTGTGAGTTTTTTTTTTTTTTTTTTTTTAATCCTCTCCTCTCAGAGCCTACCTTAATTGTTACAAGACCACAGAGTATGAAAGTCATGCGTGGAAGCGACGTGCGCCTTGAGTGTGGTGTGACATCAGATGTCACAACTCCTGTCACAACCACCTGGATGAAAGAAAAAAGACACGTCACTCTTGGCTGGAGGTACGTCTTTTTTTGAATGAACTCTACAGAGACATACACCATATATGAGTACACTATTTTCAATTAAAGGAGCAGGGTGTACGTTTTAGGGGGATTTAGTGGCCTCTAGTGGTGAGGATTGCTGATACAACCAGCTGAAACTTATCCCAGCTAGAACTACTTCACTGTTTATTGTTCAGGAGGTTTCTACCAGGAGCCGAATTATCCACAGAGGTCTCTGCCTCTCCAAGACAAACACACCTGGTGGTTTAAACCAGTAAAAACGCTGAATAAAGCAGTTTCACGTTAAAAAAATACGTGTTTTTCTGATGCTGTCAACCTGGAGGGGCTGTAAACTTTGGTGGCTGATGTAAAACACAAATGGCCCTATCTAGAACCAGTGCTTGATTTGTCCATCCTGGGCTACTGTAGAAACATGGCAGTGCATCATGGCAATCTCTATAGATGAGGACCCTCTCCCTATGTAGATATAACAGCTCATTCTAAGGTAACTAAAACACAACGATTCTTACTTCCAGGTGATTAACACACCAAAGAAAACATGCTTATTATATTATATTCCTTTTCTGTCAAATCCTTAAATCCTACACACTGGACCCTTACAGTGTCTTGTTTTAGTGTAGGCCAAAAAGCATCTTAATCTCACCAGTTTTACTCGCTTGTTTCCTCAGACTCTCTATGGATGAATCAAATCTGGTCATCACCAATGTAAACAGAGGCGATGAGGGCAATTACACCTGTGTCATCAAGAGTGAGCTGGAACAAAAGTCTGCCTCAGCACACCTCATGGTGATGGGTACGACACGTTTAAAATAAATGACATTTCATCAACCATACAGCATGTTTGGATTTTTAATTGTTCATGTATTTTTGTGTGTAGACCGTCCAGATCCTCCCACTAATTTGGAGTTGTCAGATCCATATGAACGCACTGTTAGACTCAGTTGGGTCCCTGGAGACAGCAACCACAATCCTATAACAGGTAAGAGCCGCTCAACTAAATAAACTCAGATTTTGTGAGTATTATTGTTTTTGTTTTTTTTATGCCTCCATGCTGGTGGTAGCCATGGCTGAAAGTGTTATTTTTTCAGGTTGTTTGTCTGTCCTCTCATCTGTCGCTATGTCCATACATTCATCCCATTCTCATAACCATGATATCTCAAGAAAGCCATGAGGGAATTTCTACAAATTAGGCACAAATGTCCACTTTGAGTCAAGAATGAACTGATTAGATTTTAAGTGGTCATAGGTCAAGGTCACTGTGACCCCATATGTTTCATTCTTGTCAGTGCGATATCATACGAACACCTAGAAGGAGTTTTTTCCAGTTTAGCACTAACATTCAGTTGGACTCAACATCGAACTGATTAGATCTTGGTTGTCAAAGGTCAAAGTCACTGTGACCTGGCCTCTGTCCCATTCTCATGAACATATCTCAAGAAAGCCATGAGGGAATTTCTGCAAATTAGGCACAAATGTCCACTTTGAGTCAAGAATGAACTGATTTGATTAGATATTGGATGGTCATAGGTCAGAGGTCAAGGTCACTGTGACCCCATTTGTGTCATTCTTGGGAATGCAATTTAAGAACACCTTGAGAGATTTTTTTCCAGTTTGGCACAAACATTCACTTAGACTCAACACTGAACTGATTAGATAATGGCGATCAAAGGTCAAAGTCACTGTGACCTGGCCTCTGTCTCACGAACACAATGTATCAAGAACACCTTGAGGGAGTTTTTTCAAATTTTGCACAAACGTTTACGTAAACTTATACTTAGAATGAACTTGATTAGATTTTGGTGGTCATAGGTTAAGGTCACTGTGACCTCAGGAAGCATGTTTTTGGCTGTAACTCAAGAATTCATGCTCTTGATATGACAAAATGTTACACAAATGTGTGATAGGATATAATGATGACGTCATGACATTTTATATCCAAAAAGGTCAACTGCACTGCGCCATCATAATTTTCTGCAAAAACACTTTCTGGCCATTACTTCATACCTCAGGAAGAGAAGTGGAGACATTTGGTCAGATACTGAATTGGTGACACTAATCTTGGGTGTCCACCTTGAAACTATGCTGATTGTGTAGATCTTCTGTGCTGCCGGGGGGAAGATATGTGTGAAGCATTCATGTTTTCACAGACATTGATGTAAACTCTAAGTGTTGTATTTCTCAATTTATTGCTCTGTTACAGAGTACCTGGTGCAGTATGATGACGATGACTGGTTGCCTGGGAAGTGGAGAAACCTCTCAGCGTACCCTGGGAACCTCAACTCTGTCATTCTGCATCTTACTCCTTTCACCTACTACGAGTTCAGGGTCATCGCTATCAATGAAATCGGAATGAGTCGCCCAAGTCGTCCATCTACGCGCTTCCAGAGCAGCGGTGCACGTGGGTTTCATGTTCCTGAAATACATTCCTGTCTGAAACAGATTGTGAACTAACAAAACAGACAGTTATGTCGCATATTTTAAATGACAAGCTCAGCATTTTAGAAAATACGCTTATTTGCTTCATTAAAAAGTGTTAGATGAGAAGATCAATACCACTCTCATGTGTTTACACTAAGAATGAAGTTCATATCTTATCATAGTTATCTCACATACATGAGAATGGTGTCAGTCTTCTTATCTGACTCATGGTAAGGAAGCGAATATGCATATTTCCTGAAATGCTGAACTCTTCCCTTAAAGCTTATGATCTTACCACTGGTTTTCCTGCACAGCTCCGGACGTCATCCCAAAGAACTTAAAGGGTGTGGGTACATGGAGGAATAACATGGAGATCAGCTGGGAGGTAATAACTAAAAAAAACTGTAACACTTCCATATTTATCTTGACTGTTAACATTTTTTGTTTCTACCACAATGAAATCAAATTACGCTGGTTGCTGTTCACCCTGCTTTCAGCCTCTGACCTACAGAGAGTGGAACGGGCCCCACCTGAAGTATCTGGTGTGGTGGAGGAGGAGAGACTCCCGAGAGGAGTGGAAGAACGCAACCACTAAATGGCTGAAATACTACATCTACGATGCAGATACCTTCACTCCTTATGAGATCAAAGTCCAGGCTGTCAACGACTTTGGGCTGGGTCCAGAGTCTCCTGTTGTCATTGGTTACTCTGGGGAAGACCGTAAGTACCTAAATCTGCTGCATTATAATATATAGGTGAATACTACAGGAAGGAAAAACAAACTTAATGTGTCTTAGTGAAGTCTATTTTGCATTTGCCACATTGTTTTTGTTTGTTTGAGATCAGATCATGATTAAAGCTGGGCAATGTTTTTACCTCAGGTCCTCTAACTGCTCCCCTGAACCTGCGGGTGTCCGACATTGAGAGCACTCAGGTGACTGTGCACTGGGACCCAGTGTCACGCGGCTCTATGATGGGAGCATTGAAAGAATACAAGGTGTGTCTATTGTGAATTTAATACTTAATCATGGACTTTGAATAAAGCTTTTATTTATGTTTATGGACAAAAATAGAAATTGAGCACATGCTGTAGATCACTAAGAGAGTCCATAGTGGTGGATACTGGTGAGTTTCAGTTGATTTAATAGCATGGAAAGTAGGAATCATTTCTTCTTTGTGGTGACTGCAAGGTGAGGGTTATATATTTAACACGGATGAAGAGAACAGAGATATGACTGTATTTGAACAAGTTTTGACAAACTAAAATTTACCTCATGCAGTGGTTCCCAGCTGGTGGGGGTCCATTCTGAATGGACTGCAAGTGACTCGCAAATGTGAGCTACTTAACAGAGACAGCAAACTAGCTCAATGACATGGCCCAATGCAAGTATGATGCTAAATATATTAATATATATATATTATTATAACTTAAGCACGTAAAAGTTATCGCTTGTGATATTGACTTGATATTTTGTGGAATATTAAACTACTTACTTCAAACTTCCTTTACAGTTATAATTCTATTGTTTTTATCCTCATATTAGACCTCTGAAATGCAAATATGTCTTGTATGACTGGTTTTGCTTTCAGGTTAGGAAGATATTCCTAACAATAAGAACAACACATCCTGATTCCTCCCTTTTCCTCCCAATACATGATGACGTTTACTAATACAGGAAGTTATTTGGCCAACTGAATGTAATGCAGTGAAAAAGAACAGCAATATTAGATGCATAGGCTACATATGTATGAATACTTGAGAACATAAATGTTAAACTGCTTGGTGTGTTGCTTCTCATCTCTCAGGTCTACTACTGGAGGGACAGCAGTCAGCTGAGGTGGCACAGGGTCAACAGAGGGTTGAAGTCTCAATCATTTCCAGACAATGTTGCAGAGCCCTCTGGGGTCGTCACTGAGCTCATCCCCTATAGCAACTACAAGATGTATGTAGTGGTGTCAAACAATCGATATGAAGGGCCGCCCAGTAATAATATACAGTTCTCAACACCTGAAGGAGGTAAGAACTGGTATATGCAGGAATTCCTGAAGTTAAGTTCAGTACCTTTTAAGGCCTTTTTAAAGATCCTTTCCATACATTTTTAAGACTTCGTCACCACCCTCACTTCTAACCAGTTCAGTCAGTGATACACTTTGACTTAGATTCACTATACACTGACTGTAATTGCTTGGAACACTATCAGTGCAACATAACTCAGATAGATCGGGTGGGAACGAAGAACAAGAGAATGAGTCAAGTGCAAACCCAATGCAAGACAGTATCAGTAACACATAAGAGCTAAAAACACAGTCTTGTTCCCTATAAAACACACATATTATAGTTAGTATGCCATAAAGCATCCTAAAAGAAATCTTAGTATAGCATGCCATGAAAGTATAATTTAATAATATGTCATAAAAAAATATAAAAACGTGGCACAGAAAATCATAGTCAGTATAAAATACCATAAAAAAATGTTAAAGTATGTCATAACAAGTGTCATAATATAGTATGTCACAAAAGTGTCATAAAAAAATGTTGTTTTAAAGTATGTCATTAAAATGTCATGAAAATGTCACAGTATAATATGTCATAAAAGTGTCATAAAAAAGTCATAGTGGAAAAAAAACATGCTTTGTCTCCTGCTGTGTTTTTGTACGTAGTACCATCTGCTCCCAGATCCTTCAGGATCCAACAGCGACATCTGGACAGTATTTACGTTGACTGGGACCTGCCAGCAGAACCCAATGGTATCATCACTGGATATATCCTCAAGTACCAGACAGGTACGCCGACATCCATCTGAAACACTCTCAGACACCTCATAATGTCCTATTATGCAGTCCTCCTCGGAGAAAAAGCAATAACACAAAAAGAAACAGTTTATTTCACTAAATCTGACAAAGATTTCCACACAACACTTAAGTCCACATCCCAGCTGCACATAATAGCACACTTATATATGCACTCAAAGACCAAAATACCACTGAAGTATGTTCTCAAGAGGGAATGAACACTTGTGTGGGCACTCTCTGAGCAGGTAAGCCACTTAATAGCTCAGTTGTGGGCATTCTACCAGCATCAAGAGTCCTCCAAACGCACTGATATTTCCACTCTCTCCACAGTGAATGCTACCAGGGGAGAAGAGCTCAGAGTTGAGGAGTTCACTCCAAATGTCACCAGTTTCTCAATCCGGAGATACGACCGCTACACTCGATACAGATTTTCTGTGGCGGCACGAACTCGGATCGGGATAGGGGAATGGCATACAGAGGAGTCACCCCACTACACCACTGAAAGTAATTTACTGCTGTCACATTTAGTGTTCTCCCAAATTAACACTTTGAAGTGCTTAAAAGAAGGTGACTGTAACAATGTCTATACTTACATGTGTGTGCACATGCTTGTGTGTGTCTCAGTATATGCTCAGGACCAGGTGGACATCTCCACTCAGGGTTGGTTCATCGGGATTATGTGTGCTGTGGCTCTCATCGTGCTCATCCTACTCATAGTCTGCTTCATCAAAAGGAGCCGAGGGGGGAAATACCCAGGTATGGTGGTGATTCCTCATTTCCTGTGATGTCCGATAACATCACACCGTGTCTCCTCTTACAGTGTAGCTTGTTTTGTATTTCAGTGCGGGACAAAAAAGACATTTCATTGGAGCTGGTGGATGACAAAGATCAGGAGGGATCATTTGACTACAGGTAAGCATCGCAGCAGACAGCTGGTGGGAAGTAAACACAATAGAAAGACAACACAGACTAATAAGTTAATGAATTACGTTTACAGTGAGTGTGTTTATCTACCAAACAAAAACCTATTGAGGGTTTCAAGGTGTGCTGCATCATGTACAATTACTTATATAGTAGCATGGTAATAATACTCAACATTGAAAAGGTCATTATGTTTTCCATAACACTGTACAGCACTACCACTATTGAAAACTATAACAACAGTAGCCTTATATTTACATCCATTTGCTCTGTAGCTGTGCATCAGCTTTTGATTTGGTGAATTAAAGCTGCCCTGTGGAGTTATCTTGTAAAAAAACAAACAAACCACATGTTTACACTCAGTGTTACTCACTGAGTGTTTTCTATAGGCCTGGAAAACACGTGGAGCCAATTTCTTTTCTTCTTTTGTCTTCTGAGTCGATTTTTGTAAGTATTATATATCGCATATTGTTTAGTAAGGCTGGATATTGTTAAAAAAGTTACATTACCAGTACCAATACCACTACGCTTGAAGTGATACTGATACCAGTAGAGTACTTCATTTGATACCCAGGATGTGAATGAAGTGGCTTTCCACCACAGACTGCATGGGGTGTAGCTGCTGCTGTGGGAGTGTGACCTCCGCGCTGCGTACAGTTAAGCCCAGTTCAGATTTGTGATGAAACCGTTTTAGAACGTTGCAGAGAAAAGTTTCAGCGGTGTGAACTGGCCGTCTGAACTCGACTCAAGCCGGCTGATGGTGTCACCCGCAACTCAGCTGGTCAAATTGCCAGTCACTGGTTTTAGTACGCAGGTGCTCCGTTCCCACCAAGCCCCCTGTTTCCGTCCTCATGTGTGCTGGTGTTGGATGGTCGGTGGCTGCTGCTGCTCGCTGTATGTGCCTCTGTTTTGTTTCTCGCCGTTTGATCACTACTACAAATGCAGCTGTAGCCAGTATCTCACTATCACTATCCTCATTCATATTTAAAGAAGCCACAAATTATATTCAGTCACAAAATAAGCCTGAAAAGCTGGAAATCAGAGCAGGAGTATAGAGGGTTGTTGCATAGAGATGATACACCATCTCATCTGGTTGCATTGGTGTAAACTGGCAGGTTTTAGAACGTTGCAGAACAGTTTCAACTCGTCTCGATGCATATCTTTGGTCTGAACTGGACTGTAGAGAGTGCCAGCCACACACAGTGACAGGGCTAACTGTTAGCATCACACAGTTAGCGTTACTTAATGGTTATTAATAGGGTTGACAACAGAGTCGAGACATTTTGTTGTCAGAGTGAGTGAGTTGCTGGCTGCTGGTGTGTTTGATCATGCTAACTGGGGAGACATTGAACTGACCATTCACTGGGAGCAGAGTGGTTTCGAGTCTGGAGATGTGGGCAACACAAAGTTTGCTGATCTGGCGGGAAGTCTGGACAGTCTAGGATTAAAACCCTGAAGCAAAAAGGATTGAATGAAGGTATAGTGTGACTGGAGAAGCTTCAATACTACACGGTACTGGATTATTTCGGTCAACACCTTAAAGGTTTCCAATACCAATACCCAGCCCTGTTATTTAGATACAAGTTTGCTGGCTGGCAGATCAGTGGAACAGAAGTACATCAAGTTACCAGCATGTGCACAATACAGCACTGCTCTATAGTGCTGCCAGAGGCCGGATACTCCACAGGGTGCCTTTAATTTTGATTAAATTTTAGCATGATGCTGCACAGGTACAAATCAAATCTGGTTACAGTATTTATGGCCTTATTTATGATAACTTTTTGATCACACTTACATTATTTTCTGTTTTTTTTTTTCTATTTACTCTACCTTTTCTACCTAAACCTTTATCCTCCCCAAACCTCAACCCTGTTCCTTTCCCTTCTGAACCACTCAAGGTCTCTTGAAAGGTATGAAAAGACTAAATATTGACTCATTGACACTATTGACTTTTAAACTGTAAAACCTTTTATGGGTTATTTCTACAGTATGTCATTAACAAGATAGTATATTCAGAAAATTGGAACAGTTATAAACATTTCATGAGTGGATGATGAATGAAATGTGATAAAATCATCTCTTCTGTCTTACAAATGAACAACCTTTCCTCATATTTTAGGATAGCACGGGTCTCCACTCTGCCTTACCCTCGGCGGTATGTACATGTACATTTAAATGTACTTATACATTAGGTTTTATTGTCCAGCCGTTGTCCTCTGGTGTCTGGTCTTCTAATGTCAGTGTTTTTATCTTTTGCACTATTTTGCAGAGAGGAGGAAAGAGGGCTTCAAAGAGGCCAGCCGTCTATGGAGGCAATGATGAAGCGATCAGACAGCGACGACAGTCTGGTGGACTACGGTGAAGGAGGCGAGATGCCATTCAACGAGGATGGCTCCTTCATCGGCCAGTACACTGGAACCAGGAGGGACGTCAGGGAGTTGGACTTTGGGGGAAGTCTGGAGCTCCACTCTCCAATGAACACCATCTACTCCCTGGCATAAAACTCTCCATTTTTCATGTGACTTTCAGCGCGTGTACCCTCTGACTTGAACCACTTGCGGTTTGTCTGCAGGAGGGAACAGCTGGAGCCCGAGGTGCTGTTACCCTCTGTGTCCATGCAGACACAGCAACTGTCACGTATTTCAAGAGGAAAATGGTGGAATATTTGGGACAATACTACAGCTGAGATGCTTATCTTAAGCAAGCTTCACATTTTGTGTTTCATATTGCATTTCTTGTAAATAAAAATGCTGCATGTTTGTGCGCGTGCATACACATGAGTACGTGTTCAGTTATCCTGCCAACAGAAAGACACTACACATCAAAGGAGACAGAAGAGGATCAGTTTATCATGTTGATAAAAGCAGTTGCAAGGACCAACTTAACGCCTGTTTTTCCATCTTTTTGTTTAAGCTAATTTCAACAGGATTTAATGAGATTTGTGTTATTTTTGTGTGTTGGCTGTTTGAAATAAGGGCAGCATGCCATCTTCTCATGATCAAGGGAGTCACAGTGTACTCTCTGAACTCAGATTGCATACTCTTTCTTTTATATCCCAGTGTTTATAGTGTAATGTGAGTGTATAAAAGGGTTGATGGTAATAGATTAAGGATCATAAAACATCTCCAGGGACTACTGATTCATCTGCACTGCCAGATTGTGAATTTTGCTCTGCTGGAAGTCAAAAGATCAAACCATTTTGGGAATCAGCAAGCAGCCATAAATCAGCTGTAAAATCACAAGTTGCTCATGTCTGTCTGTACACTTGCCTTAACTGTCTCCCCATTTTACTCACGATGGAGATGGATGGAAAACATTAATCATGATGTAACAGCTTCAGTTTATTTGACCCTTAACATCATCTGTGTATTACCACAGTCATGTCCTAAATGTAAATAAAGTGGAAATATTATTTGTAGCATGTTTAATATGACTCTGAATGTTGAATTTAGCCATTCTGTGTCCTTACTTTAAAAGGTTTATTTATATTAATTTGATTAATTTTTTACAATTACTTTTCAGGGTAGATGCATAAATCCTGAAGCTAAATTTAATACAAGTTAAGACCTTTTCAGAGACACTTCTTAGACATTTTAAGACCTCATAGCTACTTTGAGTTCTAGATACCCAGTACAGTATGTCATAAAACATGTCATAAACTAGAAAAGTGCACCCAGAGTGCAGATCTCCACAAGTCAGTTGTGTTCTGGCTTTTTTTAATAAGTAAAACACAGTCACAAATCTTTGATCCATATCTCTCTTTTAATGTTGTTTACTTTGTCTATACGATACAGCACAACATAGTAATAGACAATAAAAAAATAAATACAAAGAAAGAAACAATATAACTATGTAGGCTTTTCGCTTAGTCTGGTAGAGGCACAAGCGACAAGGAAACATTACCAAATCAACAAAATCTGCAAGTCTACAAATTCAGGCATGCAAAACGCCTCTCCCCATGTGGTTTGATTCTGTGCAGAGGATGAGCCAAAACCAGGTCACAGGTGGACTGCACAGAAGTGTGCCCATGGAATTTTACCTCCCGGCTCCCTTCAGGTACGTGTCATACAGAAATACTATAAACAGCAATTAAAAATTAAAAAAAAAAAATCATATAAAAAGTCATGGTATATAATGTCACGAAAGATCTTTAAAAAGTCATGGTATAGTATCTACTGATAAAAAAAATCAAATAAAATGTCATAGCACAGTATGCCATGAAAAACATAAAATTATAGCACGGTATGTATAAAAAATCATACAAACGGTCATAGTATAATATGTCAGAAAAAAATCATGTAAAATGCAGAGCAATTTATGCCTTTAAAAATCTTAAAAGTGAAGTGAAAATGTCATAGTAATGTATGACATTAAAATGGCATAAAAAATATAAGAGTGTAGTATGACATAAAAATGTCAGAGAAAATGTCAACATGTAAGGTGTCATAAAAAGGTCATAGAAAATGTCATAGTAGCGTATGTCAAAAAGGGTGAAAAACATGTCATAGTATAGTATAACACAAAAATGTCACAAAAAATGTCATAGTATAGTATTTCATATAAATGTCATTAATAATGTCATGGTATAGTTTATGACAAAAATGTCATAAAACGTTCATAGTATAATATATCATAAAAATGTCATAAAAAATGTCATGGTATAGTTTGTCATAAATATTTCATAACAAATGTCATGGTATAGTTTGTCATAAAAATTTCATAAAAAATGTCATAGTATAGTATGACAAAATGTCATAAAAAGTTTGTGACAAAAAAGTCATTAAAAATGTCATAGTCTAGTATGACACACAGTGTCATAAAAAATGTCATAGTATAGTTTGTCATAAGAATTTCATAAATTATGTCATAGTATATTATGACATAGAAATTACATAAAAAGTGCCACAGTTAAGTCTGTCAAAAAAATGTCATGAAAAATGTCTTGCTGTACTATGAAGTTTTTTTTCCTGATTTTTTGTCGACATACTACAGTATGACATTTGTTCATGATTTTGGACGACAAACTATACTATGACGTTCTTTCATGATTTTTGACGACATACTATACTATGACTTTTTTCATTATTTATGACTACATGCTATATTATGACGATTTTCCATGATTTTTGACAAGACACTATACCATGACCTTGTTTCGTGATTTTTGACAACATATTATACTATGATGCTTTTAAGTGATTTTTGTCGAGATACTTTACCAAGACTTTTTTCGTGATTTTTGACGACATACTATACTATGACTTTTTTCCTGATTTTTGACGACATCCTATAGTATGACAGGGTTTTTTTGTGATTTTTGATGACATACTATACTATCACGCTTTTTAGTGATATTTGACGTCATACCTTACTATGATGTTTTTTCATGATTTCTGAGGTCATACTATACTATGGAATTTTTTCATGAGTTTTGACATCAAACTTTAATATGACGTTTTTCGTGATTTTTGACGACATACTATACTATGGCGTTTTTTCATAATTTCTGACAACATGCTATACTGTTACGTTTTTTCCTGATTTTTGACGACATCCTATAGTATGACGGGGTTTTTTTGTGATTTTTGATGACATACTATACTATCACGCTTTTTAGTGATGTTTGACGTCATACCTTACTATGATGTTTTTTCATGATTTCTGAGGACATACTATACTATGTTTTGACGTCAAACTTTAATATGACGTTTTTTGTGATTTTTGACGACATACTATACTATGGCGTTTTTTTGTCATTTCTGACGACATGCTATACTGTTACGTTTTTTTCTGATTTTTGACAACATACTATACTATGACGTTTTTCTTGATTTATGTCGACATACTACACTATGACATTTTTTTTGTGATTTTTGATGACATGTTAAACTATGACGCTTTAAAGTGATTTTTGATGACATACTTTACCAAGACTTTTTTCGTGATTTTTGAAGACATGCTATACTATGACATTTTCACATGATTTTTGATGACATGCTATAGTATGACAGGGTTTTTTTGTGATTTTTGATGACATGTTAAACTATGAGATTTTCACGATTTTTAATGACATGCTATACTATGACTTTTTTCGTGATTTTTGACGACATGCTATACTATGACATTTATACATAGTTTTTGACGAAATGCTATATTATGACTTCTTTTGTGATATTGGACGACATACTATACTATGACTTTTTTCATGATTTTTGACAACATGCTATGCTATGACATTTTTTTGTTTTTTGACAACAAACTATACTATGATGTTTTTGCATGATTTTTGACAACATACTATACTATGACTTTTTTGATGATTTTTGATGACATGCCATACTATGACTTTTTTTCATGATTTTTGACAACATGCTATACTATGACGTTTTCCGTGATTTTGGACGACATGCTATACTTTGACGTTTTTTCTTGATTTTGGATGACATACTATACTATGACATTTTTTCGTGATTTTTGACGACATACTATACTATGACATTTTTTTCGTGATTTTCGACAATATGCTATACTATGACATTTTTTTCGTGATTTTCGACAATATGCTATACTATGATGTTTTTTCATAGTTTTTGACGACATACTATACTATGATGTTTTTTTCTTGATTTTTGGCGACATACTATGACGCTTTTTTGTGATTTTCGACGAAATGCTATACTATGACGTTTTTTTTTTGAGATTTTGGATGACAAATTGTACTATGACATTTTTTATAGTTTTTGACGACATGCTATACGATGATGTTTTTTCTCGATTTTTAACCACGTACTGTACTATGACATTTTTTTGTGATTTTGGACGACATGCTATACTATGACGTTTTTTCTTGATTTTTGACGACTTACTATACTTTGACGTTTTTTTGTGATTTTCGATGAAATGCTATACTATGACATTTTTTTGTGATTTTGGATGACATACTATATACTATTACGTGTTTTTGTCATTTTTGACGACATACAATACTATGACCTTTTTTTCGTGATTTTTGACGACATACTATACTATGACTTTTTTTGTGATTTTGGACAATATACTATACTATGACATTTTTTCATAGTTTTTGACGACATCCTATACTATGATGTTTTTTCTTGATTTTTGACAATGTACTATACTATGACGGTTTTTTGTGATTTTCGATGAAATGCTATACTATGACGTTTTTTCTCTATTTTGGACGACAAAATATACTATGACATTTTTTATAGTTTTTGACGACATGCTATACGATGTTTTTCCTCGATTTTTGACCACGTACTGTACTATGACATTTTTTTGTGATTTTTGACGACATGCTACAGTATGACATTTTTTTATGATCTTCGACAACATACTATACTATGACATTTTTTATAGTTTTTGACAACATGCTATACGATAATGTTTTTTCTCGATTTTTGATCACATACTGTACTATGACATTTTTTTGTGATTTTGGACGACATACCATACATGTCACAAAAATGTCATAAAAAGTGTCTTCGTATAGTATGTCAAAAAAATGTCATAAAAAATGTCATAGACATCTCTGACATAAAAATGTCATGAAAAGTGTATTAAGTATAC